TCTCTTTATCTACATTGTCGTTTCGTTCTTGGTCGCATTTAACTTTTACGAAATAGATAAAATATAACCTACCTGCACGTTTCTAAATGTCTTTATAGCACCCTGTCGAAGTGGCCCGTGCGATTAGAATCAGCGAATCTCGACCGCTCGTTGTACCGCAGAATCTCATTCACTTTATCTCTGCTTCTTTTTCCCTTTAAAATAATATACATAAATTACTCCCCAGAGGTCAGTCGAGCGGGTACAAATTGTCTTTTATTTTTGAAACGGCGAATCGTCGGTGAAGGTGAAAATGTCAACCCCAGGTCAAGAGGAAGACAAGAAGCCCGGCGATCAGTCGGTTCACATAAATCTCAAAGTCAAAGGCCAGGTTTCTCTCGCTCCTCTATAATCTATTTGTATTTCTTAATTATTATTCAGTTTTCATCGATTTTGGGGTTTTCTTCAGTATTTGTTTGTTGCTTTTCTGATTTTTCTTCAGAATATGATGTGTTGAGATGGATTTGAATTCAGCGTGTATTGTTTGTGATATTGCGTTTTTTGTATCAGAAGTTTATGCCGTTGGAAAATTATCCTGAAAATTGAAATTGATATGATTATATCACACTTGTAGGAAATTGGATCTGCATTTATTTGTAAATATTTTCCGATTCTAATATGGCCACTTTATGTAGGATGGAAATGAAGTACTTTTTAGGATTAAGAGAAGCACACAACTAAAGAAGCTAATGAATGCTTACTGTGAGCGACAGTCCGTTGATTTCAACTCCATTGCTTTTCTGTTCGATGGTCGTCGCCTCCGTGCGGAACAGACTCCTGATGAGGTATTTTTTCTCTCAATTCCTCCCCCTCTTTCTCAGAGACACCGATAGAGATACAAGCTTCCTCAAGTCTGTATTTCAGGCAAATAACTGAGATGGGCGATTCATCATTTATCAATTAACCGATTCATTGAGCAAAAGATGTTTTATACAAACATATCTCGAATACTATTTGCAACTAGTCGAACTTGGTCTAGACTATTTTAATATATTGAGACCTGAAGTTCCATCTTAAAATGTTAATCTTACTAAAAAGGAGTAGCTCAAATTCTTACATGCGGGTTTATATTTCAGTAATTAGCTAATGTGAGATTTATCTTTAAACATGCTCCCGCAAATGGTGGCTTGTTTGAGCATACTAATTTTGAAATTTGTGTGCTTCGTTTAAGTCTTAATTAGATCAAATTGCTTCCTTGAACTTCATGGATTCTAATACAATATTAAGACATGGGGCTTTATCTTAAAATGTTCATTTTATTAATAGGAATGACCCAAATCCTATTCTTTTCCTTCTGAAAATAGAATGCACTACCCCATGGGCACAGGATGTAAAAGAAAAGGGACTTATGCGAGATGTGGGGTTTAATGAAACATAATATTCATTTTTTTCCATTAAAAACTTTAAACATGGACAATTTTGTGTGTTGGTTAGACTCGAAATTGGTATCTCTGCCTGCGATGATACCTTGTTTAACCACTTTATCTAGTAACTTAATGAACTCAGTAGAAAGTTTTAACTTGTGGCATTCTTTTTCAACAGCTGGAAATGGAGGATGGGGATGAGATAGATGCTATGCTGCATCAGACTGGAGGTGCTGCTGCTTAGTTAGGGTCTTTTAAGTCTTTAGAAATGCCTTGGAGGAAGTTGTAATACAAAATTTCATAATCATTCTAGCAACTTGCGGTTACTACGACTTATTATTGAACTTGTTTAAGTATTTGGTCTGCTATTCAATTTCAATTGCTTCAATTTTAATTTCCTTTCTCTAAAGAAAATATACTCGTTACTTTCTCACTTTTTTTGGTGCCACAAGGTCATAAAAGAGGGATGGGTTTCTCTCGTGTTTGGTGTAATGGACTCATGGAAGTCTTGCACGACATGTTAGTTCATTATAATATTAGTCTAGGCGGCAACTGCATACATTAAATGTTAGATTCATCTTGTTGATGATTGATCATTTGATTTCTATTTTCCACGGAGAAATTTGAGGACAGTGCATTTCTAATGAGTCTTTACTTGGGAGTTGGGGAAAATGTTGATGAACTTTATTAATTTACCTGGTTTATATTAATTTAAATAATGTTTAGAATCAATCATTCTTTAATAATTGTAATTCAACTTGATATCACTAGGACTT